TTTGAATGGTTGCAAGAAACTTTGGATTAGTGAATAGTGATTAATGAACAACTTTTGTGATTAACTTTTCATTTAAATTTTATCATAGGAGATGGCTGAAATGATGTTCAATTTATGACTGTTTTTAAAATTAGCAAGATTTTATCACAGGGATGAACTTAGAATCGAAACCGACCCAACCCAACTCAAACCGACCAAATCGGTTTTGCTTAACACTAGGTCGGTTTCAGTTTCTTTGTTAGGTAACCTGACCAGGTTGGGTCGGTTGGAAAAACCGCAATAAACCGACCCAACCCAACCCGTGGACAACCCTAATATAAAAAAAAACTATAACAAGGCCGCTCATACATTAGCCTACCTAGCATGTAAAGGTCACATGAAAATATCTTATAACCCATGTTTCTATCTGTATAGTTCGGTTTACCTTAATGAAAGGCTGACTAGTTTTCTTTTGCAAAAAAAAAAAAAAATGTTGACAGCCCATGGAGGTTGCAGGCTGCCAAAATTAGATCAATGTTGTAAGGCTCGAATTTGACTGAAAATTGGAATGTTCTATGGATCTTGGTTTTTTTGGTTAACTGTGGTTAAGTGGGTAATTGGTTCTTTGTAGCTAGAAAGAAAAAAAGAAAGTGGATAATTGGTTCATTCAACTCAAAAACAAACCAGAACCCATAACCCAGAAGGATTACCTATTCTCGATTTTTATGGTCCAATTGTCTAATCCAATTCAAGTCTTACAACACTTATTTAGGTTGCCAAACGTTTACCAATGATGCATGCTCTTTTGAAGATAGTAGATCATTATAGGAATACACTATATCATAAATGTATCTCAGATCGGGAGACCAACATGGCCATTATAGTGGGTTTAGAGATGTCACTACGGTAAGAATAATGATGATGATGATGATCAGGAGACCAACCCAATCCACTAATATAGCTCAGCTTGTGAGGCTTGCAAGCCAAGCTCAAATAGCTACATATCATAATAATAATAATGATGATGATGATGATGATGATATAAAATTGTAGAAAATAGTATATATATATATATAATAATAATTAATTATTATAATTCTTAATTTTTTAAATATCTAATAAAAAACATTATATATATATATTTTTTATTTTTATAAAACATTTTTCTCAAGTTGAGTTTGAGGTTACGAATTTTTGACTAAAACCGAGCTCGAACTCAAAGTTCTAGCTCGAACCAAGCTCGAGCCTTGTACTACTTTGGTGAATTGAGCTCAAACCTTATACCATTCGGCTCGGCTCGAATCCTCTCCTACCTAAAGTTCATTTAGGTTCTATTTGATATCATTGCCATTTCAGACTATAGCTCTTAGAGAGGTAATGACATTTCTTGTCAAAAGATGTGCATCTTGACATAAAATTTAGGCAGTTTTAGAGCTCAGTAATTCTTATATTTGTTTTATTGATCTCTCAAGTGTATTTATGCACACCCCCTATACACACCATCCCTTGTGAATTGTAAATTTTTCCCACCGAACTGTACGAATACATTACGAATTTAGAGGAAACTGAAATCAAATTACCCCTAAAACTTATTTGATTTATATGTATATGCTAATGGTTCAAATTTTAAAAATCCATACTCTCAATACAGTATTGATCTAAATACTATATTTGCAGAAATGCAAATATATACAGTCATAAATACATAAAATAATACAAAATATAAGATTTTGCACTCTATATATTCCTTCCAAACTCAGCCTTTGTTTTCTTTTTTTTTTTGACCTGACATTTGACACGAGATAAGTTACATAAACTTTTAAATTGAAGAATATGAAATCAGGTACAACACATGCACATTATTTAGCATATTGGTGACCCTAAAACCGATACATATCGATCGACACGCATGCACATATTTTGATATCTTGGACCTTGCTTATGCTGTAAAGGCATTGAACAATTGTTTTGACTTTTGAGTAGTAGTGTATTTAATATTGTCATTAATTACCATATTGTATTAAATATGACACCATCCTATTATATTCATCCAATAGTCAAATTAAAAAAAAAAATGGTTTGGATTATTTGCTCATTATTACATCTAAATTAATATCGTCTAGAGAAAAAAAATACCACTGGTTGGACCGGTGTCATTTTTTCTCATAAAATGGGTGTTTAATACAGTTGATGCCACATAGGCATTTTTAAATGCTATATCAGCATATTCTTACTAACATATGATAATGAGAAAACGTTTATCGGAAAAAGTGCCCAACTTAACAATAACAATTATTTATTAAAAAGAAGCAGATTTCAGACGTATTAGGTATCAATGATGTTTTCTAATAAAACAATGCCACGTCAGAAATCAGTTTTACGGGAAAATGTTGGGTATTTGGCTAATCATTTTTTCGGAAAATATTTTCTCATATCACATCTTGAAAATCGGGAAAGGTGTAATCTGAGAAAACGTCATTTTTTTAGTATTTTTCTATTTTTTTACTCATATGCTAATATGGCGTTGAAAAATGTCTATGTAACAATAACAATAATGAACCAAATATAAAATCTGAGAAAACATTTTATAAGAAAGCAACATGTTTATGCAGTATTGTTTTTTAAGAAAACGCTTCTCATGAAACAATATTTGCTTGTAGGGGTGGATTTAAGCTGATTCAACTTGAATATCCAATTTATTCGAGCTTAGCTCGCCAATACACTATGTAGCTCGAACTCGTGCTCAATTTGAGTTAGAGACTTGAATTTGGATTCGGCTTGAGTCAAAAACTTGTAAGCTCAAATTCGATTTGACTCAAACTCGATTATAAGCTAAATATTTTATAAAGTAATATATATATATATATATATATATATATATATATATACACGTATGTAAAAATTTGATTAGACTCATGAAATTCACCAGCTAAACTTTATTAGACTCAAACTCAGCTCGCGACCATCTCCCTAGGCATTGGTGACAAATACTGCCCAAAGTTTTTTTTTTACTAAAAACGTTTTATCACCATCAAGTCATAACGGTATCAATCAAAGAGAAAATTAATGTGTAAATGCAAAATGCTTACGTGGCATTTATGTGGCAGCGTTAAAAGTAGAAATGGCCACGTACCAAACATAACCGAAGTTCATGGGCCATGCAGTCCGATATTTGATCTTACATTAAATGGGGGTATTTTCGTAAATTCACCTGTCAACATATAAAGTGCAAAGTCTTCTCTTAGTCTCCTCAAGGACGTAGAGAAACCCTGGCTCTCTCCTACAGGGTCGTTCCTCTTGGAACTCGATTCCCAAGTTTCACTATCAATGGCGGCCTTGGAGTATGGTGGAGCGACGACTCTCAGACACGCCTTTGGGAGCGTTCTCTGTTTCTTCATCCTCCTTTTAATCGGAGTTCTCGCCTTCTCGATCCGCCTTTTCTCTGTAAGACATGCTTATGATCATCCAATGTCCTATCAGATTCGTTGAACTAATCATGAAATTATCGTGAAGTTGGAATTCTGGATCTTTATCTTGTGAATAAGTGGTGATTTTTATGAGCTTTTTCGTACATTGAAGTCTTACAGTTGGTGGAATGATTTACAGGTTATAAAATATGAAAGTGTTATCCACGAATTTGATCCATATTTTAATTACAGAGTTACTCAGGTAAGGATTTCTATTAATTTTTAGAACAATAGAAGATTTATTTTCTTGCAAAATGGACATGCCATAAGTGAATCTCGGTTCGATAATTTTGCACTTCGGATTTGCTAATATGATGGTGGCTCATTGTAACATGTCAGATTAGTTAATTATTTAATGTCACATCCACTACTATGAAACTATGTGAGTTATCAGAAAGTAAATCTGACTGCTAGGAGTTTTGAAGAATTCTCCTTTGATAATTGTGGCCACCAATGGGGTGTTCAATTCTTCTTTTGATGTATAAACAGGTAGGAGTATACTTGTATATGCTGTACATGGTTCGTACTCATTAACCATGTAAAGATCTTTTATCTTTGGGTTGTCAAACTCATTTTCTTCCTTCCTTTTTAATATAATACAAGTATACAACATCATTGGTGAAAAACGAAAGAGTTGACAGCTAAGGAAGCCAATTATCAAAGCTACACATTCCTGCATATATGCATATACATAATACAGAGAAGCAAGGAACAAGGGGGCTTAGGGTTAGGGAACCTAGTAAATAAGAATGAAGCTCTTTTGGGCAAGTGATTATGGAGGTAGCCTCTAGAAAGAGAGAGATTGTGGCACGAGGTGGTGGCTAATATCCATGGCTGTTTTGAATCTGGTTGGGATGTCGGGGTATCTCAACGGGCCACACTCACTACACCTTGGAAGGCGATTTTTGGCATCTTCCCAAAATTTCTCAAGTTCGTAAGGTATGTTGTCTGCAATGGTAATTCTGTGCTTTTTTGGGAAGATGTTTGGGTGGGCAACCAACCATTAAAAGACCTCTATCCCTCCCTTTTTTCTATTTCCCTCTATAAAAAGGAGCCTGTTTCGAGGTTTCTTTCTCCCCCCCCATTCTCCCATTGTCTCTTAATTAGGATTTTGGGTTCCATAGAGGGTTGAGGGATGAGGAATCGGTTTCTGCCTCTGAGCTCTTACTTTTACTTGATTCTATTTGTTTGGACCCTCCTAAACCAGATAGAAGAATTTGGTCTTTGACCTCTAGTGGCTCCTTCTCTTGTTCTTCCTTCTTTAAGTCCCTATGCTCTACTCCTTCCCCTTTGTTGTTCCCAATTAAAGAAGTATGGTCAAGGCCAATTCCACCTAAAATTGCTGGTTTTTGTTGAATGTACAAAAAAAGAGACCTTATTCATGCTTGTCCCCCAATTGGTGCATTTTATGTAATGTGCAGAATGAGGACTGTTATCACCTATTGATTTCTTGCTCTTCTATAGTAAATATTTGGAATTGGGTTTTTATGCTGTTTGGGCACAGGTGGAACCTGCCTCCTGAAGTAAATATGCTTTTGATCCGTCTTTTTTTGGTTGACCAACAAAGAGAGTGAAAGTAATGTGGAAATGTATTAGGGCAGCCCTCTTATGGACCATTTGGGAGGAAAGAAATGCTAGAATTTTCCAGGAGAAGGAGAGAAGCATTGCTGAAATAAAGGATTGTATGCTGACAAGGGAAACCCTTTGGCTAAAAACTACTGATCTCTTTGCGGATTACTCTAGTGGTGACCTTCGAAGGAGTTGGGCAGTAGTGGCCTCCACCTCATCTAAGAAAAATAGAACACAAGCAAGTTGGTTACCCCCTCTAGAAGGAGTTGTAAAGTTGAACTTTGATGGGAGCAATCAAGGCAATCTAGGACCTTCGAGTATAGGAGGGATCTTGAGGAATAAGGATGGCAACATTCTGTCCTTATTCTTAGGTCCAGTGGGTTATGGAGACTCTACATGGGCTGAGATATTAGCTGTGGTACAAGGACTACAGATTTCCAACCAACTTGGAGTGACTAATTTGATAGTTGAAGGAGACTCTAAGGTGATAGTGGGATGGATGTCGGACCCAGAAACTGTTGTTTGGGGATATAGGGACATCATCAAAAAAGTCAAATGGCTTACGTGAACCATGTCAGTAAGCTTTCAGTGGGTTAGTAGATCGGTAAATGCTTTGGCAGATTCTTTAGCTAAACAAGGGGCTTCAAGGGATTCTTTGTTTTTGTCTATTTTGTAACTGTAATATGAAAAGAGTTGGGTTTGGAACCACCTTTAAGGGGAGATAACACCTCGTGCCTTCTCTTAGGGTGCTTCATGCTTGTACTATTTCTATCTCTATTTAATAAAATACCATTCATTCATCAAAAAAAAGGTGAGAAAACATGAAGTTGTGGAAGTGTAGTAGCTGTTCATTATGTCAAATAATGTAGAGGATAAGAAGTAAATGTTACATAAAAGTGTCCTCAAGAATTTGTGGTGTCAATGGGTGGGTAGATCAAAAAATGCTATGGCTGATTCATTTGCTAAACAAGGGGCTTCTTGGGAATATTTATATTGGGCAACCTTGTAATTTGTATTTTGTCTAGTTTGAGAAGCTGTGGTCGATCTTAAAGGGGAGGTCGCATCCCATGCCTCTCCTTGGGATGTTTGTAATTATTCAATCTTTTGATTAATGGAAAATTCCACTCATCTATCAAAAAAGAAAAAAAAAAAAGAATGTGGAGTGTCAGAATTTGGTACATGTCTGACATGAAACATCTTCCATTTTAGTCTACTTTCCCTCACTTTTTATTACCTATGGTAGCTACTCCTAGGTTTATTTGAATAAGTTCATTTCTGATCCTATCCTTTCTAGTTTTCCCATTCATCTATCTCAACCTTTTGTAGTATTAGTACAAGTCAACTAAATAATGTAATTTAATAATGCTTGTTTTAATCTTATAATCTCAAAAAGTTAAGAATATAAAAGAATGCAAGAGCACCCTATAAAAATATCTTAGCGATTAGGCAAGGCAAGCCTCCATGAGCGCCTTATTGCCTAGGCATTGGCTTGACAACTATGACTAGAGGTAGTTTCTTCTTTCATATGATAGCGGGTTTTTCTTGTATCATTACAACGGTAGGCATGCGTTCAATGGGTGGTTTGGTTTTTCATTGATTGGTAGCATGTTTGTGTTTGATTAGTGAGTCACAAGGAAGTGTTGTGACAATGTGAAATCATCCCTCTACATGTTAAGTTACCTTGGTATTACCTGATTGCCATAGCTACATAGTATATCCTTGAGGTAGTCTCTATTTTTTGGTGTAACCAAAGTTCAAAATATCGATCCCTAATGTGTCAAAAGGGGTGTATAGATACTTTGAACCTACACTTTATATCTTTTTTTTTTTTTTGAAAAGGTAAGGTAACTTTATTAACATTCGAAAGAAGATACATACAACAGAGGACTGTCCAGAGAGGGACAGTTCAGACTTCAGAATATTACACACACCAAATAGACTGGGCCCTGAGCAGCTGGGGAACATTCAAGTGCTTGAATTCTGGGTTGACAGACACCCAAGAGAACAGCTTACTGACTGCAAATTGCACTATCTCATCTGGACTTTTCATTTTGTTACAGAAGATTCTGTTATTTCTTTCAGACCAAATAGACCATAGGACAGCAGCAGGGATAGTTCTCCACACCAGCTTTCCTTTTTTCTTCAAGCCTCCGATCTTCCAACAACACAACAATTCTTTAACAGAGTTTGGCATGGCCCAGAAAATCCCCACAGCACTTAAAAAGTGATCCCACACCTGGGAAGCAACTGGGCAGTGAAGGCAAAGGTGATCTGTAGACTCAGGTTGGAGCCCACAGAGGCCACAAGAAACATCTGGCAACAGCAATCCTCTTCTTTTGAAATTGACTCTAGAGAGGCACTTATTTAGAGCCATCGTCCAGAGTAGGAAATTAGCTTTGGAGGGGCTGATTGGGTTCCAGAATTTCAGAGGGTGGCCTTTTATGTTATTTAATTATTAAAAAAAGATTTTCTTAAAATGCCTTAAAAAAGGTGTATTGGTCACCAGAAGATACAATACGGCATGCCTGATATGGGGTGTATCATATCCCATGGATGTAACAATAGCATACATGCCTTCACTAGGTTATTTGGTTTTTCATTTGCTTGATAGCAGCATATTTGTGTTTTATTGGATGGTTGCAAGAAGTTGTTGTGACTATGTGAACCCATCAATCAAAACAAAATCACCCAAGCATGCATTTATTGGGTGATTTGGTTATTTTTTGATTTATAGCATGCCCACTTTTTTTTTGGGTGGGGAGGCCGGAGGCCATAAGAAAGTGTTATGATTATGTGAACTAATCACTCCGCATTTTCTTTTATTGGAAAAGCTCATCACTCCACATGTTAGGCTACCTTCATATTTCTTGATATTCCTAGTATGGTAGTGGACCCTAAAAATAGGCTATTGTTTCACTTGGGGTAGCAACAATAGGCATGTACTCATTGAGTGATTTGGTATTTCATTTGATTTTTAGAATATCCATGCTTATTTAAGTGTCACATTTGGTTTTAAATTTGATTATTAGCATGGTTACGTCTTATTGGAGGGTCACAAGAAAGTGTTGTGACCATGTGAACTCATCGAAATCAAATCACCTAAGCTTGCATTCATTGGGTGATTTGGTTTTTCTTTTGATTAATGTGAACGCATCACAACACATGTTATGCTACCTTGAGGTTTCTTGATTGTCATAGTAAGGTGGTAGACCCTAGAGGGAGTCTCTTTTTTTCATATGTTAGTGGGTTATTTTTGTATCATTTAGGGTAGGAAAAAGGCATGCACTCATTGGGTTATTTGATCTTTCATTTGATTGTTAGCATGTTTGTGCTTTATTGTAGGGTTGCAAGGTGTTGTGACAATGTGAACTCATCAAAACTAAATCACCCAGGCATGCATTCATTTAGTGATTTGGTTTTTCATTTGATTAATAGCATGCTTGTGTTTCATTGGAGGGTCACATGAAAGTGTTGTGGTCGTTTGAATTCATCATTCAACATGTTAGTCTGCTCTGGTATTTCTAAATTACCAAAGTAGTAAACCCTAGAGGCAATTTCTATTTCTTCATATTTTAGAAGGTTGTTAATGTGTCATTTGGGGTTAGCAACAACAAGATGCACTCACCGGACAAT